CATTAACTTGCACCTTACAAAATGGGGGACGAGGTGTCCTACTTCGCCATACTGTGGAATTCAGAGTAATCACTAGTAGGGGGAGGGAGGAACTAGTATGCAACAGCAGGTACCAGGTGCCGGCTTCATGGTGAAGAGGATCCCCCCTCCCTCCATTATCCTGCTCAGTCAATCCCCTGGACTCCAGGGTAATCAATGCTGGCAGGAACCCCCACATTCCCTGTTTTGATATGCTTATGGGACGCTGGAACCGCTTTCCCGCAGGTGTTGCTCCCCACCACTAGATGGAGCCGCTCCCCAGCTGGTTGTGCTGTCTGCTCTTACCAGCACCACTAACACTGTACGGGGTGTTTTCCAAAAAAAAAGAAAAAAAAAGATGGATGATTCTTTTCAAAAAAAGAATGGTGTAAGTTCAGTAGAGTCACAAACCGGAGTTATAATTGTTCTAATATGGGCCAAGATACAGTTTGCAATTGCACTTCCGGCACCCTACACCTGGCCAGCAAGGTGGGTTGTATACATTGCCCGAACTGCAATTCGAAACTGCATCTTCAAGTTGGCCCATAGTGCAATTTTAACTCATTTTGTGACTCCCTTTCTTCCGAATGGAAAGGGAGGAGGAACACCAACTCAACACACTATGCATCACTTTGACTGAGCTTTGGGGAAAGAGGCCATAGCGAGCTGACTCTGACACATACGCAAACACACACAGCCGTTGTTGCACCGCAAACACACATAGCCGTTGTTGGAAGAAATCTCGAAATGAATTACTCCAGAAAAAAATGAGCATAGAACACCGAGTAATAATAGAGGCCATAGGCCCATAGYGAGCTATGGCGTACCCCTAGGCCCCCCTCCCACCTTCTGGTCTGAGTATCCCGCCGGAGAAAGAGGTGCATGTCTCGGGTAATCGCTGAATTAAAAAACATTTCTTTGCCAACATGAGTCGATGATCCACTKTAGCATACCTTTTTTTCTTTCTTTTTCTTTTTTTGTGAAGTTATAATGTGACCAGAACTGTACTGAACAAACATAGCATCGTTGCTCCAAGTGTGCATACGTCATCCACCGCATGTGACCGACCATTTAGACCACCGACCATTTAGACATAGTATGAACTCATAACTCACAGAGTCTGTCGTTGTTAATGTGATCCTATGCATGCAAAAGCTGTCAGTGTTATAGCCCATGACTTGTCCGCCTTGACGTGGAGAGAGAAAGCAGGGCAAAACAGATGACGGACACCCCTCTCCTCACGCCACCTTGAGGTCGTCCATCACTCCATCTGCTTCAAAGGTGATCATGGCTTTCGGCTCGTTCAAGTTGAACCTCTTAATAGCCGTCTAGATAGCTCTATGATCCCTCCGAACCCCCCCCGGCAGACTAGAAAGTTGGAAACATCGACTTAAAAAAAGGCACACCTACTGTTGCCCGTTTTCCTAATGTTCATATTACTTCATAACAGTGACATCAATTTCGTCTAGGCCTCTTCTCTTTCCCTTCTCCGCAGCCGACTCCTTTCTGACCTCTACGTCTATGGTAGGTGGGTATCCGTCTCCTTTCACTCCGCCCCCAAGGAGTCAAACAGTCGTGAGGGGCAATGGGGCATCATTCACAACAAGAGTGAGATTCTGGTCCCCGAGTTCCATCCGAGCTTAGTTCCATTCTGGTCCCGTAGTTCCATCCGAGCTTAGTTCCATTCTGGTCCCCTAGTTTCATCCGAGCTTAGTTCCATTCTGGTCCCCTAGTTTCATCCGAGCTTAGTTAGTTCCATTGTGGTTCCATAGTTCCATCCGAGCTCAGTTCCTCAACAACAGACAGAGAGGCCCAGGGTGAAGCTCGTCCAGTACCTCCATCCGAGCCTAGTTCTCCTCGCACGTGGTGCGGTGGGGCTGGTACTCGAGGCGCTCTTCTTCGATGTCACTCTTGAGGAAGCAGCAGATTTTGCCCTTCTTCCAGTTGTGAACGCCATTGATGTAAACGATGCCCTCACAGTCCTCGTTCATGTCGCATTGCTGCTGGCATCCGTGAAGGCTTGCCGCATGCGGGTTCTTCTTGCAGTTGATCCTCTTGATTGTCTTCGGCTCGTGATCGTAGTTGCTCCAGCAGTAGTACCCCCCGTCTCCAGCCACAGTGGGAGCATAAGCAACAAGCACGACCATGCCTATCGCAACGGCCATCATGACCGCCATAGCCAAGCTCGAGGACTTCATCCTGAAGTTGCGCTCCTCGTAGACGTTGAAGGCAGTCGTGAGGCAACTGGTCGAGYTGACACTGCAAAAAATTGCCAAACACAGCTGCGAGTCACCTGCAAGTCCCGAAACAGCACTGGCGACAGCCGCAAGCAACAGAGTTAGTGGCATA